TGTTCTTTTATCTGGTTAGAAAAGTCAAAGTTTCCAATTCAGGAAAAGTGTCTTATTCCAGTAGGATTGCTAATAGTGCCTAGTGGAACCAGATACACAGGGAGGGTGGTTGGACAAGAGAGCGGGCCATGGCATTCACATGAGGTTACCTTTTAAAGCCAGTTGGGCCAGCCACTGTAGATAAGCCTGAGCAGATACAATGTAGGGATATAAGGCCGGGTCAAGTATCTGCTCTTTGCTTGTGTGAGTGTAGGATTTAAAGGCAGCTTAAGGATAAGTTAGATCATAGTTGGAGAACAGTGTCAAAGAGCCCAGAAGATTTATGACGGCACAGCCTGATGTTCACCGCAGGGCCCGATAACAGGTTAAAACACCATTTAACAATAATACTGGTCTTCCATAGGAATGCTCACTCAACTGAGAGTAAAATCTTGAAACTCATAAAATGCAGAGATCAGCCAGAGCTCACGGAGGAAGATCGACCTTTATTTATTGAAACTGCTTGCATACAAAATATATTGCACTATAACCAGACATGTCAACCCAAACATCTTAAATGCTAATAGTATGTACAAAAGGAAACAAAAAATGCCCAAAAGTGCACACAAGGTTTACAGCTTTTTTGACTACCCTGGTTTAAGTATCTACAGATTCTCTGCGTGTCTTCACTTTCTGGCACTCTACTGCTGAACAGCCCCCACAGTAGAGTCTAGTTAGTATTTGTTGATGATATATACATTCTGCAAATTAATGACAGCTGAAATCTGCTGCAGACCGGCGAGCAACAACAAGAACATTTTTGGGTCATCTTATCTTGCGTTGGTTCCACATGAATCATGCTGCAACCCCAACTGGACTAAAGGATTAGTAAAGGCAGGATGCAAAAGGGTCATATGGGAGACTGTTCCAGTTAAAAGGATTGAAAGTTTCTGAACTGAATTGGAAGTCCCCGATTCAAATTCTTATTCTTTGTGAACTATCATTGTATATTTGACATATACAGTATCTGTTCTTGTTTAGCAAGCGTCTCTTCTGGGATGTCAAAGTCTGGGAAGTCAAAATCAAAGGTTTGTGGAGGAGGTTGGGTCAGTACTTCAGTAACCTGACCACATTTGCAAGACAACACAACGCAGTGTTGTAGCTTTAAGAGTAAGAACTGTTTAATTCAGTCAAATGCATCGTTCAAATTTGAGCATCCCGTTGGGTTGGCAAAGAATGAACGTTATTCATGCCAAATGCAAATGAAATAAAGGCTAGCATTCCCCCTCTGCAACCCATTGAATCATGGGTAAAAAATACAGTCTATACACCAGAACATTAGAACAGCACGACAGCTGGATATCAAGAAAAGCTATTCGCTGGTAAACACTCTCAGCAAAAAAATAAATAAAATTAAGAGAAAAGTAATCCTACAGCTATCATTAACATTGTCAACATGAAACTTCTCATTATGTGAATCACTGCCAAAACCTATTTTCTGTAAATCAAAATCAAAAAAGCAACAAATCTCTAGTTCAATCCCTCCATCTCGCTACATATAATCAGTTGATAACACACATTATAGTTGGAACAAGACACATTTTTGAGAAAGCATCTGTTGATGAAATGAGTTTACAAAATATACAGGACCAATCATCAATTTTAATATGAAAAGTTTCATGTGGGTTAACAGTGATTCACTATTTTAAAAAAGCAATAATCTTTCAGAATCTGTCTTTAAGGATTATACAGTTTTAGTAGTGCCAGTCTACTTTATGGAATACCAAATGACACTTTATAGTACTGTTCTAATGTACTGGAGAGAGAGGATTGCATTGAGGACAGTCTCATGCCAAAACAACAAACAGAGTGCAATCAGTAGCATCATAAGAACAGCACATCTGCAAAACTTGGATGTCCTCAGTGTTCTTCATGGTGCCATTAGGTATTACACCTTACACTACCAGCATCAATCCAGATGTACGCAGCTTGATCCTGGGAATTGAATGTGTGATCGAAGCTGTTCCATGTCTCAAACTTAGATTTGGGATCCCAAATGGTTCACAAACCTGTTTCTAGTGAATGTATGTTTCCCTGCAGCTTTCCTTATGACCACATTTGCAATGTTTTCCAACCAACCTGAAAATCTACATTTCTTTTTCTGTCATGATCTTGACTGTCCTCATCTTTTCGTTTTTGTGGCGTGCCACTGGAAAACAGCAGGATGGGATAATGATGTCACAACCAGTCAGTTATAGGAGACTCTTAACCAAAGTCCCCATTGTACTGTATAATGTTTCCTTAGCACCAATTCTTAAATTATTTCAACTGGTCAGCATGCGATAATCCCCCCTCGTCTTTTTTTAATGTACATTTTCCACTATATAGTACAAGCCTTGGCCTAGCATTACGGTTTGTTAGTAATGCCCCTAAAAATCAAACCAAAGCATGAAATAGCCATTAAACTGCTTTTGTTGGTACGATTCCAACATACACTCTTAACCTGGTGTTTGGAGGCACGATAAAATACACCAACAAGCTGGTTGAAGCACAGCCACAGATGCAAAGAAATTCATTGTCTCTGGCGTGACACAACAAAGCTGATGTGAAGGTTGGACAAATGTAGTCCCAAGGTATGTAACGCCACTAGTTGAAAAGAAAAGAATAATACAATGTTAAGGGAATCTAATTGAAACACCCGTCATTATTCCTAACTCTGGTGACTGAAATAAATCCACCATAAAACATTATTCACATTGGTTACTTTAGTATGGTGCATGGTAGAAGGTAGACCAGTATCTGCTTTCTTTATAAGGTTATAAGGTTAAAAGAATTGTAAATATAGAATCGGATGACAAAATTGATACCACACTCATGTCCAGGAGCCAGGAGACGATTTGCTTGCCTTGGCATAAAGACTGGAAGCAGGTGGAAAAAGCTAGCCTAACTTCCTTAGAGCTGTAAAGGTCACTAATAAACAAGTTGTATCTGATTTGTTGAATCAGTACACAAGCAAAAATGTAAAAACAATGGTAGAACTACCAGAACGTTTTACATTTCTATTGGTGAAGTAAACAAATGAAATAAGTGTTGGTGAAAATGTTTTAAACTGGTTATCAAACAGTCTCAGTTTAATACCGATGCTACCATTTGACCAGCACAAACAAAAAAGATGATTAGCGAGAATACAAGCTATTTCTATATAGTTATTATTTAAGCCTGCCACCACCTTAATCAATGAAACAAGGGAGTGTGGAAACACTACCACTTTTGTTCACGGGGGCCACCAGAATCAACACAAAATCAAAGTTCCTTGTAGCTGCTTTAAGTGGTGATGGTATGTATTTTTGAATTGCGAGGGAGCCAGGCTAGCCGTTTCCATAAGCTTCCAGTCTTTATGCTAAGCTAAGCTAATATCGTATTCCAGAAAATGTCTATTTATTCTTTTAAACCATAACTACTAATAATAATTTGGGGGGTTTTATCTTAAAATGACACCACCCAAAATTGGTTGAAAATGTATTAACTCCACTTATTAGCGTTTTTCTGTGCTTTTGAATACATCTCATGATTCTCCTCAACGTGACCTAAGAACAGAACTTTGGTCATGGGATAACAGATGGTTGTATTATAAAATGTCATCTGCAGAGGAAGACTGAGATGTAGTTGAAGGCCCTTGAAAACGCAATTTTGAAGTCAAATTTCTGTTTCTAACATCACATTTGTCGACCCAAAATGTTTTTCACATCAAACATGGAACCCATTTCAATGTGGTCTTTAAGTCAGTCAGTCAGATGGATTCGGAACATTTCACAGAAGGAAAGAGTCTCCAACCACTCCTGCAGCTTAATCCACTTCTCCGGATAATCCTATTTTCACTAAAACATGGCTAAAGACGCAAGTTCTGTTTGTATGTGGCAAAAAAGATCTCTTCAAGTTTCAACCAAGTGACGCAGATTATGCTGCAAGAGTAGGTTGAGAAACGTCTGTGGACTGCTCTATATTAAGGATGAATCTAGCTTCTTTTAACAGCCGCCGAACCTACACATGTAATAAATAATAATATATTAGGATAGAGTATCGCTTTAAGCTTTAATACACATATTGGATACTATTCCACTGTTGTGCTAACTGGTGTTGAACCCAAACATCCACTATAAATAGTGTCACAATGCCAACCAACCCTGTCTCACATACAACAGCACTGACTTAACTTCACATTGTAAAGAGCTGGTTATCTCATAATGGAAATTTAGTTGTTCCTGTGTGGGTTTTCATTCATGAATTTAGTTTTATGGTGGATTTTTCTGCGTCAGATAAACAAACTAACTCACCCTCTTTCGGTAATGTAACGCTAGTTTTCAAATTCTGCAGCGCTATGAACATTTCATTATCAATGACAGCTGTGTGTGGCTCGACCCTGCTACAGAGGATACTATTTTTTCACACATCATTAAGTTTATTATCAAGAGCTCTAGCATTTAACTGATATTAAACAGCAAAAAAAGAAAATATCAGGATAAGTGCACATTTGAAACAATAGTACAAATCTTTTCTCAGACAAATAATGACATCATTATATACAGTATGCCACCCTCCCTTCTTTTTTCCCATCATGTTTTTGTTGTTGTTTTTTTTTACAATACAAAGCAACTCCATACTGCTGATGCTCTATTGACAATATAGAGGTTACTTTCACTTTCACTGCAGAGAATGCTTACTGGGAACAAAATGCAACATGGCTGCATTGTGAACGGCAAGTGAAAGCAAAGGCCCTAACAGCTTAGTGAGACACCAATAATACTTTAGAAAAAGAGAAATGAACTCCTAAAAAAAGCTCATTTCATGAATCATTACTCATGTTACATAACCGTTTTGTGTGACATTTTCTAAAAGGTAAAAGTTCCCCATGTGTCATTGATGGTTGTCAGAAAATGTAACTCATCACTGGCTACTCCAGCTGATCTCAGGTCAGGGAGAAATCAGACAAAATAACACGGATTCAAAAAACTAAACTTATGTATGTCTTTTTTTTTTTAAAAACATGTCTTCGAACCTAGTCTCCAAAATCCATAATAAAGATGTACATGCATCGCAAGACTAGAAAGGTACACAGATCTCTGGTAAAGATAAGACCTGGCTCAACCTCTGAAATCTTTTCAGTTCTTTTCTTTACTTCAGTTACTTTCCAGGAAGGAAAGACAGAGAGGGAATAAAGTGTCACCGGGATAACATTTTAAAAAGAGGGTCTGTGAGGAGAAACGGCTGACTTCAGAACCAAAGCCGCCACAGAAGGTCATGAACTGCACTGGTCTACGAAAGTAACTGAATCCACATCACAGATCAATTGAACCAGGTCATAAGCTACAGGTTCACATTTGTCGACTGTACAAGGGTACAACACCTTCAGTGTTTGAACAGGATCAGGTTGTCAAAGCAGGCGGTTTCCTGGTGTGACAAAATCAACCCAACAGTTAACAGGAAGCTCAGAAAATACTCCAGCGACAACCCAGGGGGGTGATCAATGATGTCACGACAAGAAGTAGCCACCTTTACACACCTGGTCCATTATGAACGTCTCATCATCCCTGATTTACATGTCTAGGTTGTGATACTAGCCACAATTGAAGGCACATGTCACACAAAATATGGGGAGGTTCCTCTGAGCATTCGCAGCTCTCTAGCAGGAGAGTTTATCCAAATAAGAGGTCAGATTATTTTATGTGTAAATATAACAAGCTCTGCTTTCACATCAAGATTTGACTCAGTTGTTGAAGATGGAGCGCAGTGGCTATTCTGAATTTGAAGTCCAGTATCTTTTATGTGTCAACCTGGTTAAAAGTTGATCCAACCTACAGTAAAGGAATTTTAATGCTATGCTCACAATGCTAGGCTCTCCTAATGAAAGCAATTTTAAGGTAAGTTCAACATTTTAGGAAATTTGCGTGTATTCGCTTGCCAGAAGTTAGGTGAGAAGATCGATATCACACTCGTCTGTCTGTAGAGTTTGATACTAAAACAAGCAGCTGGTTAGCTTAGCTTAGCATTAAAACTGGCAAGCAGGGCAAAACAGCTAGCCAAGAAGTCAAGAAGTACGTAATTCCAGGACGCTATAAAACGTTTTTTTTTTTTTGATTAAACAAACAAGATTTTAGAGTCGCTGGTAGGCAGAATTTAGACCGAGGCAGGCTAGCAGTTTTCCCTAGTTTCCAGTCTTAAACTAAGCTAAGCTAACGGCCTTCTTGCTCTAGCTTCCTGTTTAGTGTCAACCAATCCTCTCATCTAACTTTTAGCGAGAATATTTCCAAAAATGTCAAAATAAAATCTTTCAGAGCACCACAGAAAGGAAAGCTAAATTTAAGGGCTAATTTGACCCATTAACTACTCAATCTGAGAACATCTGCAGATAGCAATGCTAAAGCTGAAGATACAGTATTTTGAAGTACTAGTGTTTTCATTAAATGTTGAGCCTACAAACGCGCAGAGAAACCTCAGGAAACTTTTTTTGCTTTGCTTTTTTTGTTTTACAGTGACTCACATTTCAAGAGTTTTTTTTTTTAATTCAAACTAATGCTATAATCAATCTCCCCTCAATCATAAATCTTCACACAAATACTTTCTACACTAGCCCATCTATGTTACTGCAGTCACTTTGAATTTAGAATACAATTTGGGACAACCGAGAATGTACATGATCTTTAAAGGCCTTCGTGCCACCTACATTGTACTTTATTTTGTTGATGATGCCACAAAGGATATTTCCATGCAGACGATTTATGAAGTCAGTAACTCTCTGAGATGTCCAACTGAACACCTCGAGATGAGAGCTTGAAGTCGACACGTTTGGCTTGTCTGATGTCCGGAAACCTGAATTTGTTAGACAAAGTTACTTTGATGACATAACTGTCTAGTCTCTCTTTTTTTTTTTATTTAAGTCTCTAGCTGTCCCTGTTTAGGGACTAAATAAATTACCAGAAACTACAGAAGTCGTTTTCCACTATGGTGCCTCCGCAAAAGAATTCAAACAAATGCATATTGTGTCACAGAATCATCCATACAAGAAACACCCAGGTATGAAAAGAATGGATAGGTTCAAACAGACAGTATAAAAAGATTGTGAACTACTCAGAGCAATCGGGTGCTTTTTTAGAATGGGCCAAATTCACAGAAATGGAGGAGCATAAATCCAAGGCACAAAGATTTTTTAAAAACCCTCATTATGACCAAGAGGGGTGGCAGAAAACTGACAGACCGCAGCTCCATGACTGCGGTGAACACTGTGTTCTTAATCCAAAAGAGATTTCACAAAGGAGGCTTAGAAAACTGGACTTGAAGATGAAACTCTTGCTTCATTAAATCAGACCTTATACTCTGGCTTAAAGCAGTTTCACTAAACTTTACTGCGATGTAAACTTAAGTCAGGTGACACAGTTGCCCAGTCTTGCAATTTAAAAGCAAGACGTAGAGGAACGCACAATTGAAATCATGCAACCAAAAAGTGCATTGCACCCTTCACAGTGTGGTTTCCTGAAGATTTGTTGTAACTGAAAGTAAATCTGTTGGGATTAAGGCCTCACCTGCCCTGTCGTTTGCAAACTACAGCTAAGAGAAATTTACAAAATAAGATTAATACACAAAAGGTTTAAGTCAGAGAGCGGGCCCAGAATAAGTTGGAAAACCAGGGAGAATAAAACTTACACCAAATTTTTATTTTGTCAAGATAGAACTCAAATGTTTTTTCTTCTACAGTAATACTTCAAACAGGTTTTTCTAGCTGCAAAACAAAAAGGTTAAACACAAAGGTTCTCATAAATTAAAGAAAAGCCGATGCGATCAGGTGACACACATTCATTATGTTGCCGCCCTAATCCTGCAACCTAATCGAAATGGTGTCCATCCAGGAGTGCGCTGTTAAATGTAAGGTAAAGTGGAACTAACTAAAGTAAGTCTAGCTTACAGCCTAAGCCCTCTGTGTGAAATATCTCACTGTGGAAGGTTGAAAAGGCTCCCAGAGTCAGTCTGGTACAGGACGTGGATTCCTGTTGGCAGGTTTCTATGAAATGAATGAGAATATGGAACCTCCCTGTATGAAAAAGGGAGGTGCCATGAATGTACTACAAAGCTTTTATTCATGACTGGAGTAAAGGCGTTAGTCATGAGTCACTGTTTATTTTATAATGACTGTACAGGTTTCACCTGTGTTTCTGGCCATTGTATGCTGAATGTATAATCATTTGTCACGGCTACATTTTCATGAAGTATTAAGATTTACAGTAGCTGCTTTAAGTGTGCAGTTTTGTGTGCGATTCCTTTAGTGTCCACATTGAGAGCATTTGTAGAAGCGTATCGCAGATCAGACACATTTCCATTTTATCAAAACGATCAATCCACACCAACTCCGACACGCCCCCCTGAGAACCCCCACTTTTTTTTAACCTCCGGTGAAGTGTAATCTTCACAGAAGGCTGTTGACACAAATGTCCTGTTTGTACATTCTGAACTAATTAATGGTATTAGTAATGATTCATCAAGGCTCCTACTTCCACTGTGGACATTAAGGAGCTTGTAGGGGAAATAAAATCAATGAATCGATGAATAAAAACATCAGTTGCTGTCCTCGCAGCACCTGAGGAGCTGCTGTTGACACACAGCTGGTTCTGAGCACAGAGCAGAGGTCGGAGTCGGTGTCGATTGAACAGACTGAAGGTTTCAGTAGCTTAAGTCGTTTGACAGGTAATTCATTTTAAATAGCGTGACATTTTGTACCCTGTTAAAGACTCTTATGAGTTGGTGTCTTTGCTTCTGTAAAGGCATTTTAAAAGTATATTTGGAACAGAGTGCCTCAGATTTATGTCTCCCCGCTGGTACGTGTAATACGGTATTGAATTTAAGATTGGTCTGACAGTTGAAAAGACTAAAGGAATTTTACATTATCTTGGCAACAGGAAACAAAACACAGATGACTTCAATGATGAGATAAGTATTTGTTGGCAATGTCATTGCCCATGCAAACCTGTTGGCATTTCATCCTGAAACATGGACACTTTGAACTCCTCCAGACCCCAAAGGCAGGTTTGATTTTCTCCAGTGTCAACATGGTGATCAGGGTTCAAATAACTATCAAAAAGAAAAAAGAAAAGAAAAACCCAAACCAAAATGTCTTTTACAAACATCCACTCCCAGTCTGAAAGCTCTGCATGTTTCCCATGTATAGAACTTATTTGGGTGACACCCAAAACACATCTGCCACTTAACCAAATATTTTACCTGTTGGAATTGATTAAAATCTCTCTGGGAATGCACCTGAAAGATTGAAAGATGCTCAATGACTTTTCTACTTCTCATATAAATGCAATTCTGTGCTGCAGCTGAATACCAAGTGTTGGATTTTGGATCTTTAGACCACCAGAAATAAATCCTCAACCTGTGGGAAACACTGAAGCCTCCCCTGAACCGAGTGCTGTCAGACCATCTCTACAATAAACATCTGAAGTAAAAAGTGTGCAACAGGAGGAGGGAAGGAACATTTCATCCTGCCGTCTGAAGTGGCTGTAATACCTTGTTTCCTTGTCAGACAATTATTTCCTTAACTTGTTTGTCTCATTTCTTTTTTCTGATGTGAGCAAGTCCAAAAAGGGCAGTGGAAAAAAAATCATCCAACTGAGTTGAATTTAAAAAAAGAAAACAAGTAAAAAATGATTTGCCTTTGATGGGTTGAGGAGCGTGTTTGTGGTTAATGCCTCTGTGAGATATGAGCTTTAGTCAAATTCCTCTTCTTCTTTTCCTTTTGTCCAAAAAGTGCTGTTTCTTTTATGCATCACTTTAGAGAAGAACAGGAGATACCAGACCGAGAACAAACGAGACCAGTACACTCAAAGACCTCAACAGAGCAGACCAGCAGATACCAGATCACCTCTGGTCTACGACTTCACTACGGTAAACTCTTCCATGCTGATGAAATATGTGTATTCATGTGTTTGACAAAGACAGAGAAAGAAAAAAGCGAGAGAGACTTTACGATGGTTTTATGATAAGTTGCCTGTGTGTGTGTGTTTCTGAGTGTGTGTGTGTGTGTGTGTGTGTGTGTCTGTCTAAGTGAGAAGGTCCTCCAGTGGTCGATCTACGACACTCCGTTCACCAGCGGAGGAGCGTCCTGTTTGTCTTTCTTCATCCCTCGGTCTCTGATGGGTCTCTGATGGTGATGGCGAGTCGGGCCCTCACCTCCGGCATTGACGCCACTCTGGGATGAGGAAGATCCTCCTCCACCTCCACCTCCTCCTCCTCCTCGCCCCCCTGAGGAGTGCTGCACGCTACGCTCGTTGCCGTCCACACGGATCTGTGGGAGAAAGCAAAGATGTACAGTCTGGTTCCTTCACAGCAAGTGGAGGGGAAATATGATCACATACAGGCTCACTGATGAACTGGGAAATTAGATTGGATCTGGGCTCACATTTATCGTCTCAGAATAACTCTTGGCAGTCAAACAGCAAAGACTAAATATACTCTTAACTCAGGACAGCGTAACACATGAAGCTTCCTACTCTGATGCTGAGTGACGAACGGGACAACTGTGACATTGCTGTCTTACAACATTCAAATCTGATATGAACAAAAAAAGCACTACCACATTTACCAAACTTGAGGTGTTGTACGAGCCAAGTTTGGGAAATTTTGTCACAAATAGTCGGTTGTTGTAGAGAGGTTTCTGTAGACGGCATGTGTTGTCCTATAATTCACATTGTAGGTTATCTTTATATAAACTCATTATCGTCAGGTGTTAATCTCTCTGCCATCTCCTCTGGATTGATCCTAAATATTGCCTGAGATCAGAGTCATTTACTAAGTTACAGAAGTTGTAGTTACAGTAGTTGTTCCTAGTTCTAAAAGTAGGACCAAATATGTCACTGAGAACTTTTGGCTAATTTGGACTGATTCCCTTCTCTCTTGAGACAGTACAGGTCCAGATCAGAAAAAGATGTCTGTAGGTGTTTAAATCTTTTTCTTGGTCTCCAGTAATTTCATTTAAAACCAGCCGGCTCTGTGTGACTGGTGAGTAGTGTTTCCTAGAGACCGTGAAGATTTAAACAGAGGATAATTTTAGGGCAAATGTGTGGGTGTGTTACCTGTAGAGTGTCTTCCTGCGCTCTCGTCTTGGGGTCTCTGATATGACGAGGTCTTGGCTCGCTCCACTGCATGTCGTCACCTAAACCTGGACAGACAAAACCCTGAAACTCAGCTTAAAACGTATCGTGCCTGTTCCCACCACACACATAGGATGATATAAACATGAAACAAACCAGTTCTAGGACAAAGTGCAATCAAAAACCACTGACTAAAGCCAGTGTCATTGCCAGAACCTTCAGAAACCACTGCGGTCTAAGACAGCAGCAAGCTGGCAGGTAGCAGCTTGAAAACAGGATTAAATCCATGTGTGGTAATTCAATTTATGTCTGGGGAAATTTATATAAAAAAAATATATAAACGTGGATCTCCTTGAAAAAGCAAACACTCACTGAGAATGTAATAGTGAGTCTGCAGGGAACTCATTACTTGAGTCCTTCCCATTCTGCAGGGAATAATTTGATGAAAGCCTTACTTTTTTGGAATTCACTACACACACATTTCTTTCTCCTTCTTACGTCTCATTTCTTATAACTTGAATAAAGATTATTTCTGTTCATTTTCTTCAAAGTTATTTTTATCTCCAGGCGAATGGTAGAAAAACAGCAATACTGTACAGTTCAGTGACGGAGGGAAAGCTTATCAGGCTTTTCAACTGGAAATATTTGACTCTTCTCTCTACAAATTACCAAAGATACCTGCTGAGCACAATCCTGAATGAGATCAAATCGCCACAAAAAGATCATAACTGCCTACCTTTATACCCTCCCCCTCCTCTTCCTCTCCCTCCTCGTCCCCGGGGCCCTCCTCCGCCTGCTCTCTTCCTCCCATCTGTCCGTCTGGGCAGGGTCCCACCGCCTGTCATCAGCTCCTCGGTGGGGGCCAGTGACCAATCACTGAGCTCGTCTTTGTGGTCCGACTCCGTCTCTGAAGCGTTGGACGCCTCCGAGTTGGTGCCTGGGGGAGGGAGGACACACGTCAAACCTCATATAAACTGCCACGGAAAGGCAACAAGGAATTAGCCACTGATTAAATGTTTTGTTTTACAATTAAGTCAATGCCTGGGGAAGAGACTCTCTGTTCAGTACTTACAGCCTTGTACTAGCTGGATGCTTCATGTAATTTCCATTGTAATATCAGATATCCAAACACTTATTTTACCCTGAAACGGGGCCACTGTACACAAAAACTTAAGTCTCATCGAATGTGCCTGAAAATAATCTCAATCTAAGCCGGAGAAGCAGCTCTTCTGCTTCAACATTGTGCCTTTCACATCCAAACCAATGAGAGCACTTATAATCAGAGGTGTGAATATCTTATATTAAAGCTTCAAATAATTTAGTTTATCTTTTCAAGTACAAGCACATTATTTGAAAAAGAAGATATGAATTAATTGAAACAAGTTTCAATGACTTCTCTTGTTGTTTTTATACAGAAATGATTTTAAATCGTACCTGAGGCGAAAGTTGCACCTCCTCTTCGCCCTCTGCCACCTCTTCCTCCCCCTCCTATGTAGGGTTTGCCTCCTCCTCCACCTCCTGCTCCTCTCCCCATCCCCAGCCCCATGCCGTTATCGAACACATAGGTTTTGTCTTTAAGGTTTCGAGGCCCCGTCCCTCCTCCTCCGCCTCCCCCTCCTATCTGTCTCAGCTGCTCGTCAATCTGAAGGCGCTCCAGGCGAAGCTGATCCACCTCCTGTGGACATGAAGGATCGGCAAACATGAACATTATTATGTTTACATGCACAGTAGTAGACCAGTTTTAATCAGATTCCACCCAAAACCAGCTTTGATTTTAATTTGTATGAACCCGGAGCATTTTTAAGTTTAGTACATGGAGAAACCAGTGATATCAGTGGATCGGAAGGTGTATGGTTGTGGTGTAATTTAGGGTTGCACTCTCTGTCTTTCTCTCCTCTGCTCTCTGTGTGAAGTGAAAGATATTTATGGCAATGAATTAGTCTCAAAACCTGCACACATAAACAACAGGCGTGTGTGTGATGCAGTGTAAGTGGATTTGATACTAGATTCAGACTAGATAAAATGAAACTGCAAAAGCTCAACCATATATTCAAAAGCCTAAAATGAATTAGTGGACTGTACACTGATTGAAAATTGACGTATTAATAAAGAACAATGCATCCCTGTGCTGACCTGGGTCCCATCTTATGCTTCAAAGTTCTGTATTAATCCCAGTTAAGTCAATTTGCCCCTGCGTCTGTGCTGGGCTGTAATGATTACTTTCATTATTGATCAATTGATTCTTTGTTTGGTCCAGAAAATGGTGAAAAATGTTTCCCAAAGCCTAAGGTGACGTCCTCAAAAGATATTCCCTTTACTGTCATAGAGAACTAAATAAAATATTCACATTTGAGAAGCTGAAATGACAGAATTTGGACATAAATTCTTAAAAAAATTTAATTATCAAATTAGTTGGCAACTGATCGAGTAATTGTTGCAGCTCTAATGTTAAACGTTTAATGCTTAAAAAATAAATGAATTAGTGGCATTTCTTTAATAAAAGACCTGAATGTCTTTCATTTAGGTGGACCAACAATAAACATACGTAGATGTGAGAGCAAATGTGATCAATTGCTGCGCTGATGCTCTGCTCTGAGCATTAAAACATCCTGTTAAACCCGAAACATTAGCTCGCTGATATTTCTCTGAGAGTGAACCCTACACCTGCCACAATATTTAGGATATAATGTTTACATGGTACACAGAGGAAGCTGGTTATTTAACTTCCTGTATGCAAGCTTCTTACTATTCAAAGGTTTCTGTTCATCTGCATCAGTGCAGTGAATCCAGATACAGATACATTCTGTACGGACTGACGTTACCTCAGCGAACGAGGATCAACTCACTCTGGTTTCCGGCTGCCTGCTGCATTTATCACTATACTGGAACTGATTATTCTTAAGAGTCAAGAGTTTCACTTTCACTTTAACGTATAAATCATCATTGCACTATTTATCATCGTAATTTTTGTTTTACTGACTAATTACACCCAATTAGGCTTGAGGAGGCACTTGCAAACATTGATCAGAAACCTGGATGAGGTGTTTGTATGATACATTATCCCTGTTTTTAATCAGAGTACGCTGATTAGCGTCCGTAGGTTTCTAAAAGTAAGATATTGTGTTACACAAACCTACTCAACTTAAGGAAGCCAGCGTTCGATTTCAATGAATGTGAATGTCATTAAGGTAGCTAATATTGGTCAACAATAAGAAAAAGATCAATAGTTGAATATTTTTGGAACATACACGTAATCGCTGTCTTGCAATTTTATCAGACAGACACACAGACATAAGAGTGAGTGGGAACATCAAACTCACTCTTATGTCTGTCTGATGAAAACGAAACTACAGCTAGGAGACAGTAAGTTAAGCTAAAGACTGGAAACGGGGATTTCCAGTTTTTGCCAGTTGCCTGGAAACCTCACGGTGACGACAGCACTCCAGGAAGTCACTACTCCTTCGTCTTTGGGCAGAACCAGGCTACCCTGTTTCCAGAATCTATACTAAGCTAAGCCAACTGTCTCCTGGTGGTAGTTTCACATTCAACAGAGTCTTCTCATCTAACTCTCGGCAAGAATGT